TCTGCCCGTTTCCAAAGCAGTCAGCGGGAGCACCCATGACTCCTGCCTGGAGGGTGGGAATGATGGTATAGTTGGGAGTGGGGTGAGAGGCGCTGCTCGGGGAGGGTTGGGTCTCAGCCCCAGAAATATTTCCTAGGACTGGGGAGGCCCAAGGCCTCTCTGATGTGTTGGGTCATACTGGGCTGCCTGGACACCAGCCACAGATGGCAGCCCCTGCTGTTACTCAGGGGTAATGGCTACAGAGCATCTGGCCAATTATGCAAGAGAAGCAGAGGAAGATCCAAAGGGAGGCACCTCTGGGGTCCCACGTGGCTGACCCTTCTGGAAAGGAGTGGGAGAACAGCCCCTGGGCTCCATCTGGGACTAGGGCTGTTCCTGCCACAGCACAGAGGGCAGAGCCTCCAGCTCCCTACCTGTGGCCCCACCCACTCTGACTTCCTCCGGGCCACTCACCACCTTGACTGATCATGGGTAAAGCACAGATTGGTGAAGAGCAGGGGCTCTGGAGATGGACTGCCTGGGTTCACATCCCAGCTCTACCACTTGTTAACTGTGTAACCTCAGGCAAGTCACTTACCCTCTCTGGACTTTGGTTTCTCCATCTGTTCAGTGAAGATGATTATACCTACCCAAAGGATTGTGAGGTGTATGAATTATTATTGAGAAAGTTCTTGGACCGGTAACATCATTATCTCTAAGGCAAAGGTGTTGAAGTGGGTCCTTCTGGCTCTAGCAGTTTCCCATCAGTTCAGGGGGTGGCCCAGGACCTGGGAATCTGTTATAGGAATGTACTGGGACATAGCCAGGGACTTGGGTCCCTTGGCTCAGTCCCCTCCCTACCAAGAGGTCTCTACCCTTAGGAGAGGAAGGCTAGTAACCACCCTCCAGGAATCCTTCTAAGAGTTCTCATACCTAAGCCCAAGAGCCTGGAGCTCTGAGTGGCTGCTAAGACATGACTTTTTCCTCCCTTTCAGGGTTGCTGAGAAGGAGCCCATCAACAAAATGTCCCTTCACAATCTGGCTACTGTGTTTGGCCCCACGTTACTGAGACCCTCAGAAGTGGAGAGCAAAGCACACCTCACATCGGCTGCAGACATCTGGTCTCATGATGTCATGGCACAGGTATCCCCACCCTGCCCTGGCCTGTGGCTGATCGAGGGTGAGACAAGCCCCCCCTTAGGACTAGAAAGAGAGCAGCTTGGAGTGCCACACCCCTTTGCTCCTGAGCAGCTGGGCTGGTGGTCCGTAGGCTGTCACCATGAAGGCAGGACTCTGGAAAGCCCTGCCCTTCCAAGACCAAAACAACAAGATGAGCCTAGACCAGGGGCCCAAGAATGTGGTCCCAGGTGGAAATGTCTGTCCCAGAAAGGAAGCCCAGGGATATGGGGAAAACCTGGGGGCCTTGTCCTCATCCATGGAAGCTCTAGGATTGCTTCCGGGTCAGGAAGCATCCTTGGGATCCCTGCAAGACGCAGGGCAGGGTCCAGTCTGAGGCAGGGCTGCCAAGCCAAAGCCAACCTCTAGAGCAGGTGAAGATTAGGACAGGCTGGGAAGTGGCCCCAGGCTCCTCACCCTCTGCCCTGCGGCGCCCTCTACTGCTGCAAATGGGCAGACACACCTGGGCTGCCAAGGAAAGGGACCTGGCCAGAGCCAGTGACCCCAGCCTGGGTTTCATTTCTTCTCAGCCAATCAGAGGAGGGCCACGAGGACAAGGACCCTGCCTCAGTCTCCCATGTCTCCCCACAGGTCCAGGTCCTCCTCTACTACCTGCAGCACCCCCCCATCTCCTTCGCAGAACTGAAGCGGAACACACTGTACTTCTCCACCGACGTGTAGCCCCAGGTGGGAGCAGCTGTAAGGGGATGGCCCGAGCCAGCCTCTCCAGCCAGGGGACCCAACACAGACTTGAAAAGACTACAATAGAAAACTCCCAAACCCAGCACTCCAGACTCCAAGGGACGTAGATTTCCAAGAACTGGAATACGTGCATCTTTTGTGCCACCTTGTACAAAGCCAGCTGACCCAGCCCCCAGCCTCACCGCCGCACCCCGGGCTCCTGCCCTCTCTGTACCTCTAGTTGTGTCTAATGCTCCGTGCTGTTCGGGACTTGTTTTATGTCTATTTGTCATGCAGAAAAGGTAGTGACCGATCTGGTATGGGCACACAGACGACCTGCTTTGTTGTTTCATTTCCTCCAACACTTTCTTTCCTCCTGAGTCCAGTCCAAGAGCTTTTATTTGGCGCTCTGTAACTGCTGCCAGCTTATCCTCTCTGGCCCTGCTCCCAGATCGCAGTCTCTTGGCAGCCTCCCCTCGGTTTTCTCCACCCTTGCCTCCCTCCCAGCCTGCCCGCATGCATGTGCAGCCTCGGTTTTCGCTCCATCACCTTGAGCGTTCTGAGAAGGTCCTGGGCGGCGGCGGCCGCAGTGGCCGTCAGGTGCTGCTGCGTGCCGCCCACCCCCACCCCGGCCCTCTCCTTGTCTTCCACCTGTGGAAGCACACCTGCTTTGCCTTGCAGCTTGTGCAACTGTTGGACAAGGAGACAGACAGACTCTAATCCTCAGCTTAGCCCAGAGCTGGAGAGCACATTTCTGGAATTTTCCACCTGAGAATCTCCATTTCTGGGGTTTATCTGTTCTGTCTCCTGCCCACCCATGAGGCATCTTGACTGTTTCTTCTACTGCTTTTCAGTTCCTTTTCCCCCTTGGTGGTCTATTTCCTTTGAGTACGAAGACTCGCAAGTGACCTATGGAGATAGCCAGAGGGTCAGGAAAGAATCGGGGCAGGCGGAGAGGCAGCCGCTGAGGAAACAAGACCATTTGAATGTTCAGAGGAGTGCCCTGCAGCACTGGGTGTCCCTGAGTTGGAGGAAGCCACTGTCAGCAGCAAGGACTTGTAGTGGCTTTTCGAGTGGCGCCAGACCTCTAGGAAGGCAGCTATGGCTGAAGCAGGTGTCCAGATACAGGCAGGCTCCATCCAGGAGGCGAGCCTTTCCTGGCACCTCACGTACCTTGGGGTACCTTTGCCTTAGATTTTACACACATTCTCCACAGCCAAGCACTGCCACGGGGCAGCCCCACAGCCACATGTGCTCCGGGGCCTGGGAAAGGCAGGCACAGTCCAGCAGTCGCCAGCCATCACGGTGCTGCCTCCCCACCCCTGGCTTCTAGATGCGGCCTTCCAGGTGAACTCGAGGAAACACCACAAGTTAGAGAAGGATGAGGAGTCGCAGGCACGCGCCTGCCTCTTTTGGGACTGGGTTTTGCTGAGGACCCTCGTTGTTGACACTGCTCTAGAGTTGGGGATCAGCTCTAAGGGGGTCCATTCCCAACTTTGAGACCCATTGCTCAGTACGGGAGTGAGAAGTAGCCCCAAATACTTGTTTCTTCCCATGCGAGCAGCAGCTGCCAGCCTATGGCGGTTATCTTGGAAGGGCAGACAGTCGCGGGCTGCAGGCGCTTGAGCTGTAGTGCAAGCTCCCTGGCTCTCCTCTGTGGCAGAGAGTAGATTCGAGGACCTCAGGATTGGAGAGAACAGCTGCCATAGCTTGAGCTCAGCGCTGTTGTGAAGAAGGGTTTGCTGGCGCTACAGCTGTAGCACTTGCTCGCTGAGAGGCAAGGCCTTTTCTGGTCTTGTTGACACCTGTCGCCCACTCTTGGGCAGAACGGTACACATCAGAGGAAAGAGCTGCCCAAGTTAGCAGCTTAGCTAGGCACCCTGCTCCCTGGGGCAGGAGGTGGGGAAAGAACTTGATCCCAGTGCCTGGCCATTCCCGGAGTCTCTGCTCGGCACTCAGGAGGTGGTACGCGGCATGGAAGGCTCTTGCTTCCAAAGCCATTGATGGTAATGAACTGGAGGCCCAGCTAGAGCTAGTTACAGCCAAACATGGGTGCCTCCCACCTCCCCAAAAACGAGGGATGTTTGCTTTTCGGCACCAGGTAACTACTGCAGCCCCCAGGATTGCTTAAGCAGTGTGAGAACAGGAGGAAACCTAGAAGGGATAAAATGCAAAAAGCTTAGAATATTTATAAATTCCACCCCTAGAGTGGGGAGGGGCGGGTACCAGACCTGGATTAAGTTGCACCAAGGAAATAGCCCATGGGTTCTCCTGAGACAGGGACTGTGCAGTGCAGACCCCCAGCCACTGTGCCCAGCAGGGCAGGCTGTGCCAACAGGGGCCCAGCAGACGGGCTACAGGAACCCTTGCTGGCAATGGCTGTGGGCTGCCGGTTGTTGCTGATACAGGTAGGATGGGACCCTTCATTAATATTTGACTTCAATAAGTTGGTAAGGATATATTTTTTTGTCTATGTTCTGTTTCAACTTATGTAGATTATTATAAATGGATGTAAACCACATGAGAAGAAAATGTTAATAAAAAAAAATGCAAAGCCCCAACATTTGCACACAACTCAGCCCTGTGGTATGGACATTTGTGTTCTCAGTAGTCCAGGGAAGACCACCAATCTAAATATTTAACTCTTCCAGCTGCATCCAGATGTGCGTTTCCAGGAATCTATTTACCTAGTTAACTCCCCTTGGGCTTCCCTATGGCCTATGGAGACTGTGGCCATGTTGGGGGGAGGGGAGCCCAAGCCCAGTCCTTGCTCTTCACAAAGGCCTTCAGGTCAGCCACCAGCCAGGTCCTTTCATGAAGGACCAATGTCCCCCCAGGGACCTGAACGGCAGTTTGCCTCAGAGAGATGGCAGGAAGTTGTCTGTTCAAGTGGAGGCTTCTTGTTTTATGTAAACTTTTCTGTGCATTTTCCTTGGAAGTGGCTCATCTTTGGGGCAGCCTTTTGGCCTAATCTGCTTACAGAGAGGCTGGATCCCCCAGAGGGCCGTTTCCCTTTAGGAGACCCGCGGGGTGAATGTCGGCTCCCACCGGCGCAAGCCATTGGATACTGTGTTTATTCTGGAGATCGGGAACAGATGTCGCTGAAAATTGGTGTTTGGTTTATGAGCTCATACCGACTCCTTGGCCATCTAAAACAGGAAGCTATTCATCTCCTCTCTTGATTGAATAGTCAATGTGGACAATGCTGCACTTATTGGACTGATGGCTACTGGCAGCCCTGGGGCTCATCTTTTCCAAGGCCGAGTGGTGAGAGCAGCATGTCTTGCATTCAGTAGTTCAGTGTTATCTGACCTCACCTACTAGCCTAGCTGGTAGAAGATGCTGGGCATTCCTAGCACTCTGACAGGTGCCAGGTAGGAGTGAGTGTCTGCTCTTGCCCTAAAAGTGCTTATAGGTGATTAATTTAGGAACAGTGGAGGAAACACTTCTAAATGTGTTCTCAGACCTCTGAGGGTGCTCCAGCCAGCCTAGCGGCCATGACGCCTTATGCCTGTGCGACTGGGATGGGCGTTATATAGAATTCACCATAGAAGGACATGAGCTGTGCGCACTAGCTCACATTCGTTCCAAAAGAGACAGCAGCCATGGCCAGAGGAAGGTGTTAGCAGCTGGGTTTGACATGATCACTCACATACATACATACATACACACACACACACTCTCGGGACGCTGGGACAGTTCAGCTGAGTCTGCATTCTGGTTACTGGTGGGTGGGCTAGAGCACAGCAGACAAGGGGGAAGAAAGCAAAAAAAGGCAAAAGAGTTATGTACTGTACAGAAGAAAAAAGGAGATGTTACCACTGGCTGCAGGCAGCCAGAATTACATGGCCGCTACCAAGACTACCTGGCTGCCCACCAGGGCAAAAGCCTGAGTTCATCAACTTCATCTTGCCATCAAAGCATCAGAGTAAAGCAGTACCCTGTGCAAATCCCAAACATAAAAGTCTTTTTTTTTTTCTTTTTTTTTTTGCCTATGGCTGAGCCTGTTAGAGAAAGGCTCCCAGGTCAAGTCGAAGACACTAATATGTTCAAAACAAAACACATACCAGAGAACTGGGGTAGTGGTGAACAGCCCCTCAACGATGTCTGATCTTAGCCAGTAGCTGCTGTGATTTAGTCATCAAGACAATCATAACAGGACCTCTCACACGTTGTCCTGGAGCCAGGCCTGGTCCGGTGGGCAGAGCATAAAACAAATAGGTGGTTCAGGCTGCAGACATTCCTATTAGCCAGCCCACAGGAGGGTTTTTAGAAGGGGCCAGTAGGGCTTCTGCATGAAATTTCAATGCACCCTAGGAAGTGACTAGGCTGGCTTCTGGGAGTAAGGCCCTGGCTGATGTAACAAGCTCGTGAGGCTAACACCACTCTACATACCATGAGAATCTAACATTCCCAGACTGCTCAGGAGCTTTCTCACTTTTTCCCTTTGGATGTTCAATCTTTGGGCCATCTGGCACCATTTTTGGGAATTGTGGAATTCGAAAAAAAACCCCAAAACTTTAAAAACTGTAATATAAATACATATTTTTAAACAAGAATAGCAGAATGCTAAACAAAATGACATAATTGGTTGGAAGGCATCAATTTACTTGGCCCTACCCTGATAGGTGAGATGTAAGACTGCATGTAGTTCCAAGGTAGAACAGCTTCCTGGGTCTATGTGAGGTCACGCCTGTTCCCACAACACCAAACAACCAAAGGTCCAGGTGTGGTAAGGACTGAACCTTTGTGGAGCTTAATTCCTACAAGTCAATACACCGACTCCTGATCTGCCCGGAAGAAAGAAGCCAGCATGGCACATCCCCTGCGCAGCCTGGCTGGGGTCCAGGAGCAGAGAGTGTGGCTGCTCAGACGCTGGAGGCAGATAGCAACCCGCTCCTCACAACACCAAACTATGAGGAAAAACAAATGTCTTCAGTCTCCGAAGCAGTGCTCCAGAGTGGTGCAGACAATGTCCTCCAGAGAGCAGCTCTGATCTTGGGCTGCTGTCCTTCCCCGGAGGCAATCACTCTCACCGCAGGTAATCACTCTCACCGCAGGTAATAATCGATTGCAGCAGAGAAAGCAGCAAAACCTCCACAACCAATGACCCCAGCCTTTAAGCCAGCTGTAAAGCAAACAGAAATGACATTACCTATGGTGACAGATGCTGGGTCGGGCTGCATTCACAAAAAGTCTGCATACCCACAGATGCAAAGAAACCAGCTGAAGCATTCTAAGTCAGTCTGCCTATCAGAGATCTGTAAGACTTCGGTGAAGCCGTGGACATGATCTAATCCAGTGTGCTTTATCTAACTGTACATTCATTTAACTTTTCTCATTCCAAAGAATTAATATTTCCAGTCTCATGAAAATAGCCCCTCACAGACAGGAAACTGGTTAAGAAAACCAGCCCTTGGAATCAAGTGAAAGCATATGGCCTGTTACCCTGATTTGTTTATGGAATAAATTCCTGGGAAGGTGATCAAAGCGGTCCTAGAGGGAGCTGAGCTTCTCAAAGGCCCTGACAAAGCTGAGTGATGGGAAAACCAAAGGAAAAGTTACTCTCTAATTCATAAATGGCTGTTTGAGGAGGAAAAGCAGGTTCTTAATGATAGCGAATCATTCTGTCTCGCAGAAGATGAGAAAACGGGCTTTTTTGCTTTGGGTAAGTCAGGATACAGCAGAGGGGGAGTGGCCTAGCAATGGACACCGTTAGGCAAGTCAAGCCACTGACATCCTACATGGCAGGGAGCTGGTTTCTTTCTCTGTTTCCAGCTGATAATCCAACATTTCTCAAATATGTATATTTGGCTTCCCACGGATAGAAATCTAAGAATCCTCAATTGCACAGACATTACCGTGATAACATATACAAGATTAAAACTGACTCTTGTATAGTATTAAGAAAAATGTCTCAATACCTGGAAAGGCATGGAGCTGAAAGTTCAGCAGAGCCTGATATGTGGATAAATGGGCTTCCTCAAACTGAGTGGGACCTAGCTATGCTTCTGTACTATCCTGCATATCAACATCCTCCAGGAATTAATTACTGTGAGGAAGTTCTTCCCATAGTTCCAATTTGAGGGCAGTTCTTTTTTTCTAAGATAGACCTAGATCTACCAGTGGTTCTCACCTGGGAGCAATTTTGCCCCTCAGGGAACATCTGGCAACCTCTGGAGACACTTTCTGTTTTCACAACTAAAGGGTGCTACTGGCATCTAGTGGGTAGAGGCCAGGGATGCTGCTAAACATCCTTACATACACAGGACAACCTCCCTCTCCCCGCTACAAAGACTTATCTGGTCCAAAATGTCAACAGTGCCAAGGATGACAAACTGATCTGGACACTACAAGTTTCCAAAACTGAGTTGACACAGAAGCAAATGTGATTTATTTGTCAGAAGGGACGAATATCAAGTGACCACATATGCCTTGGGCTGTCCGTGGAACACTCATCTGTTTGGAAATGTCAGCTTCAGCATGCTGTCCAAGGCCACAAAGAAAACCACTCAAGCGTTGTTTACTAACCTCTGAAACCAATGGCTCCTCCAGTGATACAGCCACTAATGACACTGTTCTTCCAGTCTGATTTTCCCCGGTACTGCGGGTGGAGAAGTGCAGTTTAGAGCCAAAGAAAAAAGCCAGACAAGACAATTTAGGATAAAAACACAGGGTTTCTAGCTGGCTAATTTAGTCCCTCCCCAAAGGAAACCTAATCTTTTTCTCTTTCAAAAGTATGTAGTTCCTAAAATTTGAATGTGTTCACCGATGCTTCCAGCAGGGGGTACCAGAGTGCTGAAACCAAGTGCAGCATTTAAGAAGTAATTAAAATCTCTTCTTGGGTTCCCCAATAAGCCTCGTGTTTAAAATCATTAACCAACTTCTAGCCTATAAAAAGAAGAATTCATGCAAGCCCAAATCATAAACACAGAAAAAGTCCACATTACAG